GAATTAATCCTGAGTCCAATAACCATCAAAGTCTCTCCAATAGTGCTCCTTAATTACGCTTTCAACCTCCTTTAACAAAATACTTCACATTCATCCAGTTTGTGACAGTAGTTGTAGCATTTTGAGGGGGGGGCGCGCAACTTCCAACAGGAGTCATTTTGGGGGGCTCTTGGGAGAAAAGGTTGGGAACCACTGCTCTCGGTGATCAAATTGTTAAATTCAGTATATATTTACATGCTAATGTGTTCCAGGTGTGCTTCGAGGTATCGACATGGCGCGAGGTCTGTACTTTTTACTGACGCCTGTAGATCCCTCCATCCTTCGTAACGTCAACTGTCTCCTCCTGGGAGCGATATCCCTGCCTTCCTGTATCCTCACAACACAGGTCAGTACACTTCTCTGGTCCATCTCTTTCATTTCCTGTCTTTGGGAAAATATCATTAAATATGTGCTTAACACACATAACATTCATCTGTTTGCAACTCACATATATCATAGCCTATTTATCAATATGTCAATTACTACATATAGACTATTCTGCACAGTTTCTATCATATTCTGTTTCTATTATATTTATTTTATTGACCTGCACTATTTGATCTGTTTTAGTGTGTTGAACTGTTGGAGGACAGTGAATACACCATTTTTGACGATTTACATGTTGCAAATTACTCCAAACTACTCGGATATAGTTATTCCCATATTCACGAAACACCGTATACACATTTCTCTTATGATTGCGGACATATTTCAAATTGGCTTTTATTAGTCCCGCCCCTGACAAAGTCGGCCATTTTGAAAAATGTGCGTTTTTCATTAAGCACATTCTTGCAAACTGCTCCTAGGGGAATGATTGGAAAAATTCCAATCCAGCACAAGTTCAGCCCCTATCCAATATGATGCTAAATTGCGAAGAACATTTTTGATAGCTCAATCGTGGAGGTCATAAGCTAACAGCAAATACACCCGTTTTCACCATTTACATGTCGCAAATGATTCCAAACTACTCGCATATAGTTTTTCCGATATTCCCGAAACGCTGTATGCACATTGCTATTATGATTGCGGACATATTTCACATATGCTTTTATTAGCCCCGCCCTCCAGAAAGCTATGCACACACATGACAATACAGACCTTGAAACTTTTCACATGACGTATGGTTCCTTTTGTCCTTGTTCCAGCCTGGCTTTGATGGAGAGATGCCCTACATCACTAAAGACTACAGTTTTGATCTCACCGGTGCAGGAAAGCTGCGAGTCTTCAAAGGACTGACCAGACCCAGTCAAATGGGGAATTAGTGACATTTCTTATCCATCATTTCTCTGTACCCTTCTTACCTGCTGTCTCCCACCCAAAGCAGTAAGGATTGGCCTTTCCCCTGTACAGACCTGAGGTTGAGATGGACTGTTTTTTACTTCAAGATTCAGAAAGACGGAGCAGCCAGCGTCACAGACTCTGCAGGAAGAGATGGATGCCCTCCTGTTGGTGGACGTACAACCTCTTACTGTACGAACATCTGAAGGACTGCGCTTTCTTGACAATAATATCAAACTTTGTACTTAAAACTCTTTATTGTCCTTGCTCCTTTGTGTAGTTGGCATTCCAGAGCGGCAAATCAATACAAATACTGCCGGATATTAAACAAAAAACACCTTCTGCTCAGACTTTGTGGTTTTATTGATTTCAAGTGTCATATAGTCATACATCCATGTAGACTTCAACAATGTAATGGATTAGGATAATTACTGTGAATCTGAAGCCTATTTTGTCAGTATTGTGATTAAATACCAGTGAAATAAAATCGCTCTTTTTTTTTTTTGGCTTGCTGCTTTAACTGCTGTACATTTGGTCTTGTCTTAACGATAACAACGTGTACTTGCACTGGTGGGTCATTAAAAGTGTTTTGTAAATACAACTTGTTTACATTCTTAAGCCTATGTGGGATGTAAAAGATTCATCAAAGACTAATGGTTCTACATGTTGTACCTCAAGGGGGCAGCAAATGGATTTTGAGATTTTGAACAACAGCAGATGTTCACTTACAATAAGTTTTAGGGCAGTAATTAAAACATATTAGCCTGTAAAACAGAATAACTTCTTTCATATTCAAATTGAAGAAATTCTAATTAAAGAAATAACAAACCCCATGTCTTGTAACTACCTAAACTGGCCTCAAATTATCTTACTTGAAAATTAGAAGGAGTACTGGGTCGTAAACATCCACTCACACAGTGAAGAATTGCTAATTTGTTAAGTGGGCTGTTTTAACCTCCCCTCTCTGTCTGCCCCCTCGCTCTTCTTTGTCTGCTGCTCCCCGCCTCTTTATGGAGGCTGGGGAGCACACAAACACAACACAGCTACATTTTGGCAGTGTCATTGTTTTGTCTTTGTCAGGTCAGATGTTTTCCCATGCAGACCTCATGCAAACCAAAGAGAAATCCCTCTGTGTGGGTGACACGAGACGGCCGGCACGAACATGAATAAGCAGAAAAAAACAACACACATCTGTGAAAAGGCTTTGAATACAAATGATGAATGTTATGAAAGGCTAGTTTAAACCTAATACTGTTTGAGTGAAATATGTTGTTACTTCACACTTTTCTTAATTTAGTAGTTACTTAACTGCTTATCTGGGGGTAAAGCTTGAATGAGAAAGCGTATGCAAATAAAAACTGTTCAATTTCTATTTCAAGCAAAGAAACAAAACGTTTCCAAGATCTGAATAGTGGATTTTTTTCCCAAAACAGGATTGGTGGCAGAATCAGTTATCTTTTTAAAGCCCTAAAAAGTATAAACACACTCAGTCATGCAGACATCTGTGTTGTGTAGCTCTGTTTTGAACAATAAACCTTGTGTATCAACTGGTCTGACTGTGCCTCACTTATGTAACGTCCCCCCTCCCAAACAAACAGTGCGTATGTTGCCTGCAAACACAATTGTGCTGAGTAAAGTAACAATGCAGAGGCAGCGTGCCATTATAACTCAAATCCCTCTGTTCAGTTCAAAAGAACATGTGAGGAGAGAAACTCCCCGGATTCAGCCCACTGTTTCATGAATTGCTTTGATTCTCTGAAACCACACAACAATAGTGCAATGCCATTAGTCTCCAAATAATCAGCTGTTAACCATTCAACTCCCATTTCCAGCACTTTATGTGTATTCAGTTGATTTACTTTAATAAAGGTCCTCAGTTACATCAGGCAACAAAGTAGAAGCCACATGAAGGCCATAGTTAGCTTAGCATGTGTCAAATGTATTGGGTATTGGGTAGCCTACTAACTCCTTACATCTTGTAAAAATAAAACAAACTGTAAATACAACTTATATACAGTATATACATAACCATATAGGCTACATGTATATAATGACCATACTAATTTACTAGTGTGAAAAGGTCAACTCAATAACAAGTACTTTTACTTTTGATACTTTAAGTACGTTTTGATGCTAATGCTATGTACTTTCACTTAAGTACCATTTTGAACTCAGGACTTTTACTTGTTGTGGAGTATTTTAAGACTATAGTATTTGTACTTTTAAATAAGTAAAGGATCTGAGATACTTCCAACACTTTGCTTTCAATCACTCAACAATAATTGATAATGCATTTTTATGTTTTGGACCTTTTCAGGATAACTTGGTTGCCAGACATCTGGATATTCTTTGGATAAAATCCCATAGAAAAATGAATGGACCCTAGTGTGTGCGTGTGTGTGTGTGTGTGTGTGTTTTGTCTATGTCTCTATGGCGCCCCTAGAGGCCACCCGGCGCACAAAGAGGGGAACTGCAACGAGTCTTTGTGGATCCAGGTTGTGTGAATGAATGGAGAGCCGATGGTTGATCAGAGAGGACGACGAGACGAAGCAGCAGACAAAATGTGTTCAACTTCCCCGGCACAGTGTGTAAAGTTCATATACGGAAGCCTATCTATGGATGTGCTGATTTAAACACTCTGAACAAGGTGTTCTTCTCCTCGTATTTCCATTTCTACACCGAGGGGGCTTCAGCAACACACGTCGGAAGTCGAGGAGATTTTTTTTCCTCATGTGTGCAGCAGCAACAGGTTATTTACAGTTTAGCACACACTCCAACGTGCAGCTTTAACCTAGTGGTTGTTAGATCAGTGTTAACTTTTCGTGGATGCTGTTGTTTCACTATTTTCCGTGCATTCAAAGCGATGTGAGCTTTGTGTACCGACCACAGATCCTAACAAGGCTGAGCAGCAGGCTTTAAAAGGAGGGCGACCACAGAAAGGAGGATGCCATAGATAAGCTAATAGAGCTAATTAAACATCGCTGGGGTGATTAGCATTGATCCTGCCACACACAGACACACAGATCTGCAACACAGGTGCTGTTGGTGCAGGGGATTTTTTTTTTCTTCCTGCATGCATAGATGGTGCCAAACAAGTGGACCATGAATTCAGTTCTGCACAAATCACCACCAAGGAGCTGGCTTGGACTCAGACTACGAATCAGTAAGTAAACATCATTATTAATGTCAAGCCTTTGGATAACTCAGTCTCAATGAGTCACCTGAGTGCTTTGTTCTGTAAGAAGCACCTTCTGTAGGGCACTCTTGAGTTGCTCATGGATAGGAAGGGGAATTACTTTGATCCCAGATCTTTGTTTAATACCCCCCCC